AGAACTGCAAGCATTAACTTACTGTATGATCACTCAGTCACTCCCCGTCCTTACCTGTCACCAAGATCAGCTGAAGTGAAACCTGCATTATTTTCTTTCACAAGAAAAATATTTTATATCTAGGGGACATAATAAATGATACAACTTGTGAGAGTAAGTTGCACATATCAGCTCCTACCTCCAGTCTGTCTGTCCTCATTAGCTTTTGGGCAGCGGCGGCGGCAGCGGCAGGAACCGGGACACCAGGGTTCCCTGTCACTAGCATTGGGGCGGTGGGCAGGATCTCTGCTGGGACCAGGCCGGGGGAGACGGGCCCCAGGTAGGGGTTGAAGGCGGCTGATGCGTTGGTGGCTAAGCTCGGCGCAACGGAAAACATCGGCTGCAATCAGAGAAAAGAAGAAGAAAGTCACTTTAAATATTTATACTTGCCATGCCATCAGCATAATAACTTTTTGGCTATCATCTTGAGCACAATGGCGGTGAGTTTCTGTTACTAATGAGAAATAAGCATTTGCCGTGTTTGTGGGACATGAAGAACAGCCGTGCAAATGTCACACACGAGCGAGACCACAAGGACAAGCGTCCCCCGCCAGCCTCCGCTGCTTCTCCTGCTCAAGCTTCTCCTGCACGCTTACACCACGTGGCAGCTCTTGGAGCAAATTCTCATTTGATCCGCACTTGAGCAACGCCACCATAAACGAGGACTCCTCACGGCCACAGGAGAAAGTCTGAGGCTCTCGGAGGGACACGTCCAAAACGTGTACGAACCTCCGCGCTCGGGCAAAAAAGCATCTGCGCGAGAGCCCCGACACACCATCAAACCACACTCAACTTCAGACACAGATAAATACATTTCTGACCCTGATGACAGCTAGCACTGGTTCAGAAATTACAGAGGTTTAATACAGAACAAAACCAGATGACCACAATAATTTATTTTTACAAAATTAAACAGGCTGTCCATGCAGATACTCAGAAAGAAATACACTGCATCAAGGAAATACACTGCTTTATTTAGACTAAAACATTAAGCCAGAGAAAGAGAGAGAGAGCATACAAATACTGGGGTTTTTTTGTTTGTTTGCTTGTTTTAAAAAAAGAAAGAGTCAGATGCCCTTGCAGGCTATCACATGTTGTGAAGATAATTGGATGTAGAAGACCAAATAATGCTGTAAGACCAAATGCGGAGCTGTGACACTGCAGTAAAGATTAAATAACTCTTCTGCCCCACTGAATGCAAAGGCATTGCACTACCAGTGTAATTGCCAAATAAAATTTAGTCTGGAGTGTTTATCTTTAGTATTTAAATATAGTAGTTACTCAAGGCATTTAGATTTTTCTTCCAAGCTAATTTTTAGAGGGAAAAACAACTACAGAGTTAATGCAACTCTTTTCTCTGTTTCACATCTGTTTAAGCCAGACAGCATATAACACCGCAGGTTTTTGTATTCCTGAGGAAATGACTGAACTGTTTGGAAGCAAGAAACACATCCATTTGAGACACTGGACAAAAACACATGCAGAGATTACTGAAGAAAAAGACAGAAAGTTGTGTAAATGGGAGTAATTTCTTTAATGTCTCTGGTTCTTCATCCATGTGAATGAAAAACAAACAGGCAAATTTTACAGGAAATAAAATATTACTCTTAAATACAGTATTAATTAACTGTACTTTTCATTACTGTGTTATCAGCTATGCAATAATGAACATTGAAAATAAAACTACGAACCAATCTGTTAGTGTGTGACTTAAGAGATATCAATGTGTGATTTCAGCCCAATATACTCACTGTACAGTAAATAAAAGACTATCCCATTTACTTTCTACTGAGATCATTTTATACTAATATAAACATCCTGTGGCCTTTAGACCACTGCAAAGTAATAGCATATTTTATCAGAGCCACTTCATATTATTCTGAAACTCACAGGTATTTTGCAATGTGCTGTACACATGTAAATTAGGAGATAAAAAACTACCCTACAGTTGTATCAGCCCAGCCTCAGAGCCACGTTGCTGGCAGAAAGAGACCATGAAGTGGTGAAACCTGGGCAGCACATAACCACTTCTTGGTAGCAGAGGAGTCTGCCAGGGCACAAAGCCACCCGAACACTCCTGCACCCAGGAAAAATTTCTGTCAATACAGGGGCCCCGGAGGACACACAGCACAGACTGGATCTCCCCAGGGACTGTCCCCAGCCGCCCCAGCACTGACCTAAGGCTCGGGCAGCTGCAGGACAGGTAAGAGCGGGGCGCCAGCGCACCCCAAGCACGGCCCTGCCGTCCACGAGCATCAGCCGAGGGTCAGCCTGTAACTGCAAACTGGTCAGAACTGGGGCCCCTATGCCACGCGGCGGAGGAGAGACAGGGGGGCTCCAGGTCAGTCCGAGCCGCTGGGCTCGTCTCTGCTGCTTCCTGCTCACTTGTTTTTCAATGAGCTTTCACTTCCCCGGCTCTAGAAGCACAGGTAGTATTTCTCTATCACCGTGACCAAACCATACAACTACTTACTGGCCTTGCAGTTAGGGCCCTACTATGCAGTGCATCATGCAAGCCAGCTAAAAACCAGAAAAAAGCCGCTCCTGCAGATCTGCAGAGAACAGAGGTGAAGGAGGACATAGCCTTGGATGCAGTTCTGTGCTGTCAGATGCCCCATAATCCACATCGTCCCATCTACTGAATAATTCTGCTCTAAAAATGCCTGTTCACAACCAACGTGAACCTCAGCAGTAGGTCTGATCTCCATGGGACTGCCTTTCAAAGGCACTGCTCGCTAACGGGGTCATCGATTGGGAAGGAGACACGGGGGCACCCTTGGAAATCGGCCTCTGCAGCTCAGCAGAGACACGGCTCCTCCCTGGACAGACAGACCGGCTTTCTGCCAGCGCCCCAGCTCGCCAGCTCCGCAGGACCGGCTGCCCGCAGGGAAGGAGCTGGACTCGTTTAATGCATCTTTAACAGTCATCTACTGAGAACCTGCCATGCCAAGGAAAGCACAAGAGTGCACCACATACACAGAGAGAAACACTGACAACCTACAGCTACTTGCGAATTACAAACACACCTGCAGGAAGGTCTGCGACCTGGCTCTGCTGCAGATTCGCACCTGCAGTGTGCGGCTGATCGCCTCTGGAGCGCTGGCGCTCTGCAGAAACGCATGCCTGACTAACAGCCCCGCAGTTCAGGTCTGTATAGAGCAAGCAGCTTCGTGGCTCCTTGTGCTCCCAGCACCCCTGGAGCCGAGGAATGGCCCCAGAGTCTCCAGCCACCTTTGCGGTCCACCTCCGCTCTTCTGGTCTCACATCTGCATCTTCCTGCTTCTGTTCAGCATTTTTCACACTCTTCCACACTGGAAAAGGCAAATCCAGCATCTGACACTGCTACTGTGAAGCAGCACAGCATCACCCACTGATGTGCTAGTACCAACGGATGCGCTAATACCAACTGATGCTCCAGTACCAAAGCCATAGTCTAGCTGGGCCCAACTCCCCCTAAACTGGTTTACAAGCAAGGAGGGCAGAACCGATCCGAGCAGTCAGGGCTCCTCCTCAGGATCTCAGTGCTTGCAGTCAGCAGGACACACAATCCCCACACACCATCTGAAATCCTCTCCCTCAAGTGCCAGCTAAAGACAGATAAAAGAGTGAACTAAAAAGGAAAGATGGGGAAAGTCCACAGACATTACTTGCAACTAAGATAATGAAAACATTTATCAAACAGAAATATGAGTGAAAGGATCCTACCACTTTGCTTACCAAATTAGTGTCTCTCATTAAGTTAGTTCACTTACTTTTATTAAAGCATAGGTATTGATTTTTGTAAAACAAACCAAACTGACTGAAGCATCATTAGATGGGATGATATAAATCACTTGCTAGAACAGCCTGAAATAACATCCAACTGTGCTAAAAAATAAAGTAATTTTAAGGCCAAATTAGTAGGATGACATCCATTTGGAAACACTATTGCTGGGACAGCCAATGGGCCTTGCTATGAATCCTCATATTGAATGAGACTGAATTCTGAAAATACAGTCTGTAATGTTTGAATTCAAGCGATGTACACAGAAATTACCCAGGCATGGGTAGGAGGTTTGTGCTGCACTTCAAAATACACTGACTTAAATTTTGCTTGTTAGGAACAGTGTGAGTGTAGCATAAAGGAGAATTTAAATTTGATTTAAATATTATCCTCACACTAGCCTCTCTTTATATTAAAAAGGAACGTTAATCCAAAGGACTGCATTGGTAGTTTTTTTCATGTTTACCCAAATGTTGGTGTGTGCCTACACGCTGCTTTGTATAAACCCGAGAGAGCCATATTTGGTTACAATTCATGAAACAAACAAACAAACAAACAGGTTATCAGAGAAGAATATTTTAAGCAATGGTTCTTATTGTTGGCTGCATTTTGACTTAAGCCTTCTCACAGTCCCAAATATGAATTTGCTGTATCACTGTACTCAAATCAGGAAATAAAAATAAAATTGTGGCATATGCGCATGTCTGTTTTGAGCTGTTGAAATTGAAAAATCATTTTGAGGTTGCTCTGGAGTTAAAGCACGTAAAGTACAGCCTGCTTTTGAGCTGTCTAGCTGTACAGACACTTAATTTTGTTTCTGATCCGAAAGCCATCAGCAGCGGGCACCAGCCCACAGGCAGCCCCATTTCTGCAAGACGTGAGTCAGGAGCGGGCTGCACGGCGCAGTGTTAGGGCATCCCCTGAAGCACTGCGGTGCCACAGCATTTGGTGTCTGTGCCCTGATGCTGCCTCAGCTCATCTCCTTGCCTAGGTGATACAGACAACGTTACTTAAAGAAACGCCAATCAAAAGAGAGAAAACAAAATGCGGTATCTTCTCATGCTGTGCTAACAGTACTAAAGTCAATTTACTGTGACGATCCTACCACAACATTTTCTGCTTTTGTCCCCCATGTACACTTTTGCTTGAAACAGCCGAGGCATAAAGCTCTGTGGGAGAATAACAGTTATATTAACTGAATCAAATAAGCCACAAAATATTTACTGGTATTCTGTAGACCCACAAAACGTGGGGCCAAATAACCATTTGGCACAGGTATGAGAGTCCTTTCTGCTGAGACGATTTTTCCTAAGGATTTAGCTATATTTTGAGGAGTATTAATTGTCACTATGTTTTTTGAAATAAAAGTTGAAGAACTCATCTAATAGAGTGAATATAGCTTTCCTAACGGAAGGTATCTAGAGGTAAATTAAACTCCCTAAATTCTACCTTTGCCAGCAAGAAAGGAATAAACGAACTGTCAGAGAAGTGCTAATGCAGATATATTTATTTTATATATATATTTCAACTTATTTTTTCCTTTGCTGCCATTTTACCCATTGAAAGAAAAAGCTTCAGCCAGGGGAGCACTGTTTGCCTTTTTACGTAGAATATACCAGTCTCGCTCATACATTAATCAGTACTCTCTAATGTCTGAGCTAGAAATTTATATCAAAAGGGTTCTGGGCCAAATTTATCCATAGGTTAGCTCAAATGACCTCTCTGGATTGCATTAGAGAGGGATCTGGCACAGGGTGTTCAGCTCCCAAACGCGTATGTGCACGGCGGGTTGATGCCAATCATCTTTACATTTGTTGAAACGAGGGATTACTGCAGAGCAAGAAACTCAGCCACGGCGTTCGACTTTGTGGAACACTGCACTGCGCTTACTTACTAAGGTATAAGAGAAACAGATATGATGTAATATATGATCACATTTTACTGCGACTAGATGAGAGATTTCTGATAGATTCTCCTTCCCCCACCCCCTGGCTTTTTGTAGAAAGTATGATTATCTGTACTTCTCCTTCTTCCTGCCAAGCCTGAGCTGTAGATCGTGCAGGTCAGACTGACATGTACCATACATCACTCAGGGCAAGCTTTCTCCTCTGCCTGACAACGTGCTGTAAAAACCAAAGTCCAATTCCAGCAAGTAATTCCCTGAGAAGGTTCCCCCGAGGGAATGGAAAACATCCAGTGGGAATCTTCTCAAACCCAGGAATTTCCTAGAGCGCATGAAATTGCAAAGGAAACATCTATTTATGAAAACAGCACACAGATCACTTACTTTCTTAATTTTAAGAAATAAGTTGCAAAAAATTAATTATATTAACAAAAGATTAACAAAATTAATCAAATTAACAATATTACTTCACGTAAGGGAGAATTAAGCAGTACAAAGACATACAGACCAGCACTTCATTGTATGTGAGATTTCTCCACCAGTTACCGACGTTTGTGGGATTTTACAGGCATGTGAGGACACCTGCTAACTTCCTTCAACTACAACTCGTTGTACTCATTGATCAAAGCCAAAAAGTGCACATACCACAGGCTGCAACGGGGCACCAGGCATCATGGCGTTGGCAAGCTGCATCTGCTGGGCCAGCATGGCCATATTCTTCTGCTGAATCAGGTTATTGCGTCCATTTATCTCCAGCTGCGTTTTTAAGTGTGGTGGTGGGTGAAGATATTTGCAGTTTTCCCTTGAACATCGACCCTGAAGAAGAGAATTGACACAATTGGCTTAGAAGCTATAGGCGTATCTTTGTTCCTTATGTCATTGGCTAAAACAAACACAACACACGCTATAGACCTAGGAGGAAAGCCCTCAGCTACTTCTCTAGGCTGTCACATACTGACCAGAGCAACTTGACAATTCCAGTATCAGCTGCTTCCTTTGCTTTTCTAAACTCTGTATTTCTGCAGTACAACTCTAAAAAACACTGTTTCTTTTAAAAGTTGCTGAAGGCGAGCAAATACCAGTTGTTTTGAAAGTACAGCATGCCCATCCTGTATGGGCACACGTTCTTGCGCAGTGGAAGCTATGCCCACGGGGACTCGGCACGGCTGCCCCCTGCCCACAGAGCTGCCTCCAGGAAGCAAGCGGCTGCGGAGCCAGGAGCCCAACAAAAGCAACGCGGTCTGGCTGCAGCAGTGAGCCTACAAAACCTCACGTGCTAGTCCGAAAATCTTAAAGGCTCGCTTCTCTTTCTGCTGTGCAGGGGCACAAGAAACTCTGAGCGCACAGCAAGACGTGTGGTCAAAGTAGCATTATTACCAGGAGAACAGCACCAGCTCTGCGCTTTCACTAGACCTGGAATACAGCATCTTTGAAGAAAACCTCTTAAATATGATGCATTTTTGTTGCAATCGTGTAAACCAAACAAGAAAATCGGAATTGACTTGTTTCTAAATTTTTCATTAAATTCAGATGTGGTAAACAACAAATTTCATGCACTAACTTTATTTGGCTGAAAGGACATTCATCAATTTGACAACCATTCACATCAAGAAATAATAAAAAATAATTCTAGGTACAATATATACCCAAACCCCACCGTACCTCCTTGTTACCAAGTAAACCAGCTTCACACAGAAGACAACCCTGCTTGGTGAACTCTCTTAAGGTGGTCTCTTGCCCCGGGTGCCCCTGCCTGCGGGCTCCCAGCTGGGAGCGGGGCGGCCGGTGCTTGGCAGCGCTGGGCGCTCGCCCGGTGGCCGGGGCACAGGGAGCTGGGCACGAACGGGACTTCTGGAAACTAGCCCCATGTCCCCCCAGCCGTGGCTCCACTGTAAAAACCTCTAAAATGAAAGGCACAGCCTGAGCAAAGGGCACTGCCTGCACAGCCGCTCAGCCACAGTGTGCGGCAGAGGGAGGTCGGGGAAGAGAAACCCCCTCTCCTAGGGAAGAGAATCCCCTCTTCTCATGGCATGTGGGCTGTGATCTCGCATGCCACGAGACTTCAGAAAATGCAAATTCATTAATATGGAAGCTTTACACACTAATTGTTCTTTAAAATTGTAACACTGGAGCCATACTTTCACTAAGAGGATGATGATGATAAAAAAAAAAAAAACAACTAAAAAGGAGAATTGAATCCTTTTCTGGAAAAAAACAGATTCCTTAAATGACACTTTTTTTCCTTTACTCATTCATCTTTGAAATAAATCCAAACAGGAACAATGACAAAGCAAAAGACAGCCTTAATTTAAGTAAGAAACCATTTTTATCACAAAACACATTGATTCAATATAGTTTGACCTTATACTGCAATTTTGCTCAGAAAGTTCAAACGTATTCTTGTTATAAGATCTGCCAGAAATCTAATTTGTACGATGATTTTTGTCTCCCCTTAAGGCTGGGATAAACGGTTTGCTGCTGCCCCCCTCTCAATCCGTCTCTCCTGCTGGCAGTCCAAAGTTCTTAAAACTCATTTTCATAGTTACTCAACTGACATCTGACTGATCCTTGCATAGGAACATATACCTGATACAAAGAAAAATACAGAAAGTTTCATGGGTATCTTTAGGTTACACAGCAAGATTATAGAAAGCCCTATGTATATGAAAACCACTACTGTAACAACCGGCAAAGAAAGTTCATCTTTCCGAGCATCCGTTCATAATCCCTGAGCATATTTCCTTGAACGAAATGCATCTTCCATTACACAATCCCGTCTACCTCCAGTGACAACACAGAAGAGCTGAGCGACTGCTGCCAGTCACAATGGGAAGGCGCAGATGAACAGAAACCCTGTGGCTTTGCTCATTGGGGTGCTACGGGCTGTCCTCGGCAGAGCTGACGCACAGAAAGGACCACTGAAGTCACTTGCAAGAAAATCTCCCTAATAACACAGCTCCAAATGCTGGAAAGCAATCAAGACAGGGGCCAGATAATGCACAAAAGCTAAAAGCACATCTATACTACAGGTAAGACGGGGGGAAAAAACATGTGCAGCCTGAGAAAAAATTTTTACAGGGGAATGGAGTTTCCTACTGCAAACAAGGATTAGGATAATTCAGTAACAAACATTAACGATTCATAAGTAGAAAAGACAAATTGATGGTGGCAACAGGAATCGGTGTTTATGGAGCATGAATTTTATACGTGTGTATATACACATAAACATGCGTGCATACATGCATCTGTTGGTTGCTGTTCCAGCCGTGGGAGCTCCCCGGGACACCTCCAGCACCGCACAGCGAGAGCAGCGGCCAGCCGCTGGCAGGGCTGCGCCCGTCCATGCCTGTGGGGATCAAAGCCAGCACCCGACCGCCCGGAGCAGCGGTCAGACCTGTGCAGGGGCCAGCACAGCCTGGGGTGGATTGGCCAAACTGACGTGCAGGACATCTCCCACCCGGCTCGTCTCTACCCTCGGGGGAAAGCACACTTTCAGCCTGGGGGGATGCTTTCGGACAAAATGACCCTCGGTTCTCTCCTTTAATGCCTTACTGACAACGCAGTTCAGTATTTAAGCCATTCTGCACAAATTTCAGCACACCCCCTCCCCCAAAGCATTTCACAATTATATGAAATGGTAGGAAAAAGGTAAGCACTTTGGAACAGCTCTTGATACTAAAACCCGTGTTAACTGTTGCTACCACTAAGTAACACGGGAAAATTACAAATTTACTAGCTGCCTGGAAGATGGTATCTTACATTTACATCTTACAGTGTAAAAATCAGACTTAATTACTGCTAAACGAATAACATGAAACTAAAACATGTGTTGCTGGAATCAGAGAGGAGCAATTAACAAACCTGATTCCGAAATGCAGATTAAACTCAATGTCCTTATTTCAGTGGTGGGGTTTAGGCTGCTCCACACCTCTCCAGACTGGATCCAAAGGCTGGATTGTGACCGCCTAATGTACTTCATAGACTGAAATGATTTAAGGCCAGAAGAAACTAATCCAGTGATCTAATGCAATGTCCTCAGGCTCCTGGGAAACGAGGAGCCCCCTTCATTGTTTCCCCATCAAGGCCATCATTTCTCTTCGCTTAGCAGCTGATCTTTAAGGAAGATAATTTACTCTGAGTTAAAGACTACAAGAACATACCACATCCCCAGGTAAACTGTGCTTATGCTTAGTTATCATTAGCTACTATCAAAAAGCTTGCATCTTTCTTGTTTGTATGTTGCTTTGGAGTCTCGTGCAGCATTTAACTTTCAAGCTTTTTGAATCTTCAGATCCTAGCAAATTTTCCAAAAGAAAAGCAGACTTCTCTGTTTGGGAAATGGCTTTCTTGTCTTACTTATATTCCATGGACCTTCAGAAACGGTCCACAGAGCGTCCAGGAGTCAGAAACCACAAGCTGAAAACCACTGTCAAAAATCTCAATCGAGAACATGGACTGCATTCATCTCCTTTATACTGCAAGCAAGTAGTTTCTTAATTACCTTTTCATTAGATTCTGGTAACTTCAGTCAACAAAGTTTAAGGCAGATTTGCATCTCTCTGAACCTTTTCTGAATCCTTTGTTGTTTTTTCAACCATAAAAAAATGAATACTACAAGCGAGCACGTTCAGAGAAGCGAAGTTGAGCACGCTGGCAGTGTCCCAAAATGCTGCACCCGCACACCGGTAGGGTTTTACCAGAATCCTGCTGGACTACAAGTTATTAAGAACGCTCCTGAGGCTCCTCAGGCACGCTCTGCAGCAGAGGCCGCCTGCAGATCTCCGGTCCCTCGAGACAAGCGGGACAGGGCCTCCCCCACGGGCAGAGCCAGCAGGGAAACTCGGGGTGCGCAGCGTGACGGCGGGGGAGGAATCACTCACACAGCGATGTGATATTTGGACAAAAACCTGTTGCCGAGATCCTGCGTTTTCTTCTGCGCTCAGGACTCCTGCGGGAAGAAGCCCGTCTCTTGCTCACACTGCAGC